ATGTACACATCTTTTTTAGTTATAGTATGAATATCCATTATTGGTATTTTACCAATGGTGTTTGTACACAATTGATTATTTTCTATTAATAGCCTATCTAACTTTCACTAGGGACTTTATGTTTGATATCTAGAAATGAATTTATGCAAAGCATCACTAAATGGCAACATAAACCTTGTGTCAAAGATTGAAACAACTCCTCTTTCCCTTTTTGAGTGTGAATTTTTTAATGAGATATATCACTAAACAAAGTCTTTCATGCACCGATATGCAAGCTTGTCGATCTGTCATTAGAAACAAAGTCATTGTTTGAAGTTTATTTAGGTAAATTAATTCTAACAAAGAAAAAAAAACAAAAAAAAATTGAAAATGGTGTATTTAACCTTCATACCATGGCATTTTTCCCTATTTTCCCCCCATTTTATAACATTATAATGCCATTATTTATGTGCATGTTAGAATTTAAGAGTGCCATTAACGCTCATTTTATTATGTGTACTTTATGCCGCACAATGATTGATTGCTTCTTTTATCTTCTAATCATTGAATATGTTCTTGCCACTAACTTTTAATAATAAAAAAGAAAACCATTGTTGAGATTTTGGTGAGTGCAAAGAATTTAGTGAGCCATCAATGGTTTTATTATGGTAAGAAAAGAAATCTTACATTTCCTTCACAAAGACCCTCAAATTTGATGAGAAATATGCCAAAAAATAAATGGTGTGCTGTTGTATTAAATTATAATTATTTATTGAAAAAAAGTGGTCTCTTTATATGCATAAAAGAAGAAAAGTTTTTTTTTTTATAAAGTTGAACTATGGTTTTCTATTTCTTTATAGTTATTAGTTTGGATGCATTGTTCGAATCCGAATATAATTTTTAGTGCCAAAATTCTAGACTTCTTGTGTTTTGCCTATGTAGATATTGAGTTTAGAAGCTTTCCATATTTTTTGAATTGAATTTGCAATTGAGCAAAAGCAGTCCCTTGAGGTCTTTTCCCAGTTTTCTTCAATTATTTTAATTAATCATGAATAGTTCAACTTCATTGTGAACTAGATTTCTCCACAATGAAATTGTTACTATTTTTAAGCTAATATAATTCTCACTTATAGGATCTTTATCGTCCAAGTGTAAAAGATATTGTGAAAATATGCATGGATGCTGGTGTTAAGGTAATTTAATGGCTTCATAAGATTAGCTTCAAAATTTATCCTATCCTAGTTGCCTAACCAAGCTACTTTATAGAGTTTCTTGTGTTGAATGGTCAAATTTTTCATCTTTTTTTAATTACTATAATTTCAAACAAATACTTGATATTTTGGAATGATAATGATTTGTGAAAAAATATCAATTTTCATATATTATAATTAAACTACCTTAAAATCACTAATGGGAACCATAAAATTATGAATCTTTAGGTATGCATGGTCATTGGAGAAAATATCCAAATAGTAAAAACAATAGCTTTGTAATGTGGGATACTTAGTTGTGTTGAAGATGCTACTGAGCTTACCGTCATTTAAAGAAGGGTGTTTCATGCCATCTTGGAAAAGAAAAAGAACAAGTGGCCAAGAAAATAACGATATCTGTTAGTTATAATTTTTTGAGTATATGCCTTTAGTTTCTGATACTTTTTCTTAAATGCCAATTACATGTTTTGTTGATTCAAACATGAAAAAATAGCTATTTTGAAGCAATGTGTAGGTAATGGGGAGATCTTCTCCAAATGACAAGCTTTTTGCTTGTTCAAGCTTTAAGTAAGGGAGGGGATGTTGTGGCTGTGATTGGAGATGGTACGAATAATGCTCCTACACTTCATGAGGTTCGTTATCTCTAAATCTTTTTTCTAAATTAACTCAGTTAGAAAATTTTTTTTTTAGTTTGATGGTGCTTTATAATGTATCTTATATTATTTACCTTATCTGCTAAGCATTGGCATAGTATATATTCATATCTTTAATATGCTTGCATTTTGCACTTTCATACTTGTTTACAACTTCCAAATTGGTATGCCTTTTCCACTCTAATTTTGGACCTACAACAATATTATAATATAAAAGTTGTGTGAATGTAAGTGATAAGTCATCAAATGTGGAAAATAGTTATAGTGCTTAGTACTAGCCGTGTGAGCTATCATGGATCAATTCTTTCACATTCAAACAACTTTGTTTGTATATGTAATAAACCCTTACTCTACCTCTGATTCTGCATGGTGACTACATCTTGTCTTCCATCCCTTCCTTTGCTTATCTACCTATTTTACGTGTTTGTTTTTTCTTTTCCATTCAATGTTGATTGCATTTTCACTTGTTTTTCGATATAAGTTTGTCTATGGGCATTCAAGGTACCAAAGTTGCAAAAAAAAGTTCAGATATCATTATTTCAAATGATAATTTTTCTTCTATCGTGAAGGTTAGTATAGAGATTGCATGCTTTAATGTGGATATTATTGTTGCCTATCTTCCTCTATCCTACTATTGAAATTAAGGAAGGCTTGTATCAAATTTCTAGTTATTGATGTTGACTCCATAATTTTTTGATGATAACAAAACATTTTCATTTATTAATGCCTAACTATACTACTTGAGTGTGGAGGATAAAAGTGTATGTCACTTAATAGAATAACCATTTGGAAATAAATATCAAAACTCATCAAAATAAGAGGTCACAAAATGACTTACAAAGAGCAGCCTTTTAGTCAAATAACCAAGGGAGTTAGTCAGCTAAAATCTAAAAGTGAAGTTGACTATTCCAAAGACAGTAAGCTCATAATTGGTTAAAGTCTTACTTAACCAATTAACAAAGTCAAGCAGACTGTAAGATAGAGGAGACTTAATCGACTAAGAAATATAGTTAGCTAGCGAAAAGCTTATTGTTAGAAAATTTGAATTTAAATATATGAAGACAAACTAATGGCTAGAAAAGATTTTAAACTATTTCCAACGATCTGAAGTTGTCAACATCCATCAGAGTTGATTTTTCAAGTATAAAAAGGCATCTCTAATCGTTAAGAAGAAAATGAAATGCTTCCAAGAACAAAAAGAGACCAAAAATAGCAAAATCCTTTCAATTCTTCATGTGTTTCACTCCAATCTTCGTAATAGAGTTTAGCACCTTATCTTGTACTATTCAAATCAGGTTAGTGATTATAGGTACATCTTCATATATGTATTCCTAGATTATTTAAAATGTGCGAGACACGGGGATTATTCAAGCTTAGGTTAGGTTGGTTGTTGCTGCAAGTTCTAATTCAGCTTTAGAAAAGTTAGATTTTGGGTTTTGATTGATCTTGTGAAAAACTATTATTGAAAGTTATGGCTAAGATTGTGAAAAACCATTATAAAAGCTTGGTGGATGTTTAAGAAATGCAATGATTCTAGTGCATTGATTTGAAAATCTTTGATCGGAAGATCAAGGCAGTGGATGTAGGTCAAAGATACTGAACTATTATAAATCTTTGCACATTGTCTATCGTTTTTTATTTCTTAATTTCATTTTCCTTTAAATCATTATTCCATCTAGTTCTTAAATTTTTATCATTTACCTTTGACAAGCTCTTAATTAGAAGTTAAGTTTATCAATATTTAGAAAGTATTATTCACTTCCCCTTTAGTGCACCTAGGGACCAACAATTGAGGCTCACCTTTGTATCCTTAACATAGGTTGTTTGCTAGGGTCATTTTGTCTATGCTAATATTCAGAAGTTTATACAATTCCAACTTATAGTTAATGTTGATGCTTTTGTAATCAATGTTGTAGTAGCAATATCCTCTAGTGATGTTCCTTTAAGTTTAATGCTAGTACAATTCTTTCTCTGCCCTTCCAATGTACCTACATCTTTTTTGATTTAATTTGACTATAGTTCAAAAGTTTAGACCTTAATATATGTTCTATAATGTTTCAAAAAAACAAAAAAAAAGTTAATACCCAAAATTACCTAGACTTTTTACCTATGAAATTCGGTTCTAGTTAACTGTCCCATAGATTGATGAAAGTTACGCTTTTCACATTAGCACCATTTTATCAACATGAAGCAACATAACCCCCACAAAGAGACGGGCACGATAAAAACATAAAAGGCCCACATGTCAACAAAGTAGAAAGTCGTATGAGTTTGCTTTTATTATAGAGGTATTGATGTTAAGCTAAAATTCTATGTTACTAGAATGGCATCCCCACTTTAAGTGGGTGTCCATTCTTTTATAAAAAATAATTTTAAATTACATAATATTATAAATAAAAATAAAAATAGTAAAAAATAATTTTAAATTTGAAAACATTATAAATACTAGTAATAATAATAAATTAAAAATAATTATTTAAAAATATCAATATTTTAAAAATATTTTTCCATGTCTTACTAAATAAAATTTTTTATTTAAATAATTTTTAATTTTTGAAAACATTTAATTTTTTATATCTTAATATATGCTAATATTATTATAATCACATTTTGCTAATTACGATGACTGTAATAGTGAAATAAAATTAAAATTGAAAAAATGTAATATATTGAAAGAAATTATTGATAAGCGCATACTTTATATAATAAAATTATTAAAACAAAATAAATTTTTTTTGAAAGTAAAAATAAAATGAATATTAATTATGCTTATTAAAATTTTTTAATTTTAATGATGAAATTTTGTAAATTGTTTTCAATTTTAATTACTACTTTTTTAATCTAACACCTTTATAATTATTTAGAATTAATCCATCTTGTGAAAATAATTTTTAGATCCTCCAATAATTTTGGTAAGTCATTATTGACTTTATTCAATTAACTGTTTATTTTTTATTATTTATAAAAAATAATTTCATTAATTTAATTCATGAAATAAAAAATGACATAAATAAAAAAATATATCGGCTAACCGGGTTGAGCTAGGGTGAATCCAAGCCACCTCTTCTTTTCATTCTTTTGCATCCATAAAACGACGTGGTTTGGGTTTTCCTATAAAATTGTAACGCAACCCTAGCAGGCAAGTCCGTTTCTCTTTTCTTCATTTTTGCTCTCTCCTTCTCCTACGGACCCTAGCAGCGGCAGCCAATCCCTTTCTCTAAACCCTCTCTCCCTTACTCGGTCCCCGGTGCCGTCGCGTTCGCCGCCCTAGGTCTTTCCGGCAGCGGTTCCCTCTTTCTTTCCCTTTCCTCTTTTCTTCTCTTCCCGTTCCTTCTGCTGCCAGTTTCCTCTCTTTCTAAAAAAGCCTAGCCATCGTCGTCTCCGTCACTCTAAAAACTGTATCACCCGCTATATCTATCCTATACGTATCACCCACCTCTCTGTCTCCAATAAGAAAAACATATTTTTCTTTCTCTCTTTCTAATAATCCATTGAATCAGGTAATATTAATTCAATAATTCTCATTTAATTTTAGTTTTGTTTGTATTCTTCATGCATTAGTGTTTCTTTCTTAGTGATATTAAAAATAAATAATTATTGCTAAATTGAATCTGGAATTGATTTTTTTTGTATTGCATTTGTTATCTTTGATCTGGGTGTTTTTATTCTTCCAAAAGGTGTTGGATTTAGTTTTAATTAGTGGTGATGATTGGTCATTTTGAAGGGATTAGATAGATTCTAGCTTCACATTATTGGATTATGTGTTATTGGGAGCTAAAGAGACTGGGGATTGCTGCATCTGTTGATGTTTTCTTTCTTGTTGCATGGGAAAGGAAAATGGAGTAAGACTGAATTCAATCAAAGCCAGTGCGCGTGTTTGTTTTAGTTTTTTGTGTAGGTTTTAGCATATATGGGTTCTAAATCAGTTGAGGATATTCACGGTGCGGAATCAATACAAAAGATTTTTACATCCCTGGACAGGTGTCATTACCACACCTGTTCAGGGATAGTTTTAATATATGTAGCAAGCCAAATAGTATCACCCATCTCCCAGACAGGTGTCAACACAGAAACTGCGTCAGAACAGTTTTACTATATGTTATAGATGGCCTTTTAATTTTGGCCTTTCTTAGTTCTAGTGCTCTCGCATGGAGTCCTATTCTGAATTGTTATAAATTTATGTTGGAGTTTTTGTGTTGTGCTTTTGAAGATTTAGAGAGAAAACACCCTTTTTTAATTCTGTGTTTTCTATTCTTGGTGGAGAAGGTTTGAGCCATTTCCAATATTTTATTAAGCTCATTTTCTTTTCCGTTTCAGTAATTCCTTGACACCATGAGCAGCGCCATTAGAGCCAGAAACTTTCGCCGCCGGGCCGATGACATCGATGATGATGACAACGATGATAACAACACCCCCAACATTGCCTCTGCCACCGTCACCGCCACAAAAAAACCCTCATCTTCAAAGCCCACTGCAAAGAAGCCCCCAAAACTCCTAAGTTTCGCCGACGACGAAAATGAAGAAGAAACAACCAAACCCTCCTCAAATAGAAACAGAGATAAGGAAAGGGAAAAACCCTTTTCCTCTCGGGTTTCCAAACCCTTATCTGCCCACAAAATTACCTCCACAAAAGACTGCAAGACCCCTCCTACTTTACCTTCCAATGTCCAACCCCAAGCTGGGACTTACACAAAAGAAGCATTACTTGAGCTCCAAAAGAACATGCGTACCCTCGCCGCCCCTTCATCACGAGCTTCCTCTGTTTTATCTGAGCCTAAGATTGTCCTCAAAGGCCTTCTAAAACCCCAATCCCAAAATTTAAACTCTGAGCGAGATAATGATCCTCCAGAGAAACTTCAGAAAGATGACACAGAGTCTCAGTTGGCAACGATGACAACTGGAAAAGGGGTGGATTTGGATTTTTCAGCTTTTCCCGACCAGGCAACTATTGATGCTATTAAGGCCAAGAAGGACCGGGTTCGGAAGTCGTTTGCAAGGCCTGCGCCTGATTATATATCATTGGATAGGGGGAGCAATCTTGGTGGTGCTATGGAAGAAGAGTTGAGTGATGATGAGGAACCAGAGTTTCCAGGGCGGTTGTTTGGTGAAAGTGGGAAAAAGGGTGTGTTTGAGGTTGTTGAAGAGAGAGCAGTGGGTGTAGTTTTGAGGAAAGACGGGATTCACGATGAGGATGATGATGATGAGGAAGAGAAGATGTGGGAAGAAGAGCAGTTTAGGAAAGGATTGGGGAAGAGGATGGATGATAGCTCTAATCGGGTTGTTAGTAGTAATAGTAATAGTGGTGGAGTTGCCATGGTTCATAATATGCAGCAGCAACACCAACAAAGATATGGGTATTCGACAATGGGTTCATATAGTTCGATGATGCCCAGTGTTTCAGCAGCTCCCCCATCAAGCATTGTTGGAGCAGCTGGGGCTTCTCAAGGTTTAGATGTTACGTCCATATCTCAACAAGCTGAGATTGCAAAGAAAGCTTTACAAGAGAATGTTAGGAGGCTTAAGGTATCCTTATGTTCCCTACTTGTATCTTTAGAGATTTTGAATAGAGTTCAAAGTGGTTTAGTTAGTGGTACTTTATGGTCCTTTTAGGCTGTTGTTTTAATTATCTAGGAGTAGGGTATGAGTTGTATCCTTTTCATTTTGCTGTTGCCAACGGTTTCTCTCCGAAGTAAGAATGCCTCATTCTAAAATCAAAGGGTAAAATAACAGGAACTTGGAGGAACATGGTAAATATAGTTACACAAATAAGGAGTCAACTTTCCAAGCATCTCATATTACATAAATATTCTATTTAACTCAACTCACACTAATCATATCCAATCTCTCCCTTGGTAAAACAGACTAATTGTCTAGATATTATGCAAGTTCTTTAAAGCTGGAAGGTTGCTAGAAACTATAACCTTTGTGGTTTTGGTTTCATTTTTCAATTTTAGTCATTTAGGAGCTGCAGTGGTGGGCATTCCTCTGGAATGTACAGCTGAGAAGCTTTTTCTTGCTCCTTGATCCAGCTGATCTATTTAATTCTTCATTCTTTCTTTTAGCTTTTCTGCCTTGCAATTTATTTACAGTTTCAGACTTTTGGGTAATTGATGTAATCACAGTAAACTGATCAGATGAGATGTAAAATTTCAGGTGATTCCTAATTGTGGCCTGAACTGACTAGATAAAAGATTCTTTGGGCAGTTGAGCCAATATGGATTAGACACTCTGAATGCTTAAGAGTCAAGAGATGTGTGTCAGCATAACCTCAAGAAATTTCTCTTAATTAATATGGGAAGAACTCTTGATATAACTAATAGTCCAGACTGTACATACATATTAACTTCCTCTTTCTTGTTCTTGGGACCTCACATACATTCTTTTGCATTGTCATTGGATTGCTGAGAGAGATTGTAAGATATCTTTTCAGTATTTAATTTATATTTGGGTCTGGGGAAAAACAGTGATGGTAGGATATGTAAATTTTCATATGAATGCTAATAAAGGTTTTCCTCAATGTGAAGCTCTGTTTTGGCATCACATCAACAAACTGTTTACATTTTAAATTGGTTAAATATGTATGAATTACTTCGTACCTAATCTCTTTTTCCTTACCAGGAATCTCATGACAGAACCATTTCATCATTGACAAAGGCTGATGAGAATTTGTCAGCCTCACTTTTTAATATCACAGCTCTTGAAAAGTCTATATCTGCTGCTGGTGAGAAGTTCATCTTTATGCAAAAGCTTCGTGATTTTGTTTCTGTTATATGTGAATTTTTGCAGGTACGCCTTTATTTGATTTTATGTACTGCTTTCTGTGTGCCAATATCCTTATATTAGATATCTGTTGTGGATCTTATAGTTAGATTTCTCTCTCTCTCTCTCTCTCAGGCTAGGTGTAGCTTGAAGTGTAAGCAAGTTACTTTTTATATTTAAAAATTCATAAGTTATTTAATATTTAATAATAACTCCTATCAACAAGAAAATTCTAATAGCAACAAAATTAGGAAATATATAAAATTAAAAGTAAAATGAATGATAGAAATTTACTTTTTATTGAGTTCACTTCAATCTCAATTGCTAATTAGATATTAATGCTATATATAACTTTATTATTATAAATAAAATTGTTAAAGAATAATTTAAGAATATAATAAAACTTTATGTCCTTTTACATCCAAAAATGTTTTAAGACATCTATCTTATAGATACACACATGCTCATACACAAGAAGATTTGGTCAAGTAGCACCAATGATCTCAAAATGAACACTGAATAAGTAAACTGAAATTTCATTTGTCATAATCACAAAACTCAACTAAAATATTCAAGTAACGAATCTCAATTTCTCAATCATCAACAGATATGAGAAACTGAATTAACAAAAGGTACTTATAACTACACCTTAAACTCTACTATAAATGCAAAATATCAATTATAACCTAAAATAAGCTGAATACTTGAAATTTCAATAAAGAACATAAAAGTATAACAAAGTATTAAATAAACTCATGAACAATTTAATTCCTCAGTTAGGTTGTTTTCTTGTCCTGCATCATTTTCTGGTTTCAAGGTTTCAATTTTCATCATTTCACATGTTCAACATTCATGTATTTGGAATAGGCAGAAGATTAGACTAATAGGAGTTTTATTGTATAATTGTGGAACCATTGAACACTATCTGTCTGACTCGAAGCAAGAGTGTATGAAAACTTTTGGTTGGCATTTAGATGGTGTGTGCTATACTTGCTGCTTGATTTTTTTACTGTAGCCCGGTATTAGGAATGTCATTTGTTTGGAATGACTCACTGTTGGATCATCAGTTTTCTTGAGGTTTTGTTTATCAAAAGGAAAATTCTTTTCATAGATGCATGTAAGTTGACCTGCTTGTTAACCTGTACTTACCAGTTTACTATGGTTTTCTACTCAGCATAAAGCTCCCCTTATAGAGGAACTTGAAGAGCACATGCAAAAACTTAATGAAGAACGTGCATTATCTGTCTTAGAAAGAAGATCTGCAAATAATGATGATGAAATGGTGGAGGTTGAAGCAGCTGTGAAAGCGGCTATGTTGGTTTTCAGTGAACGTGGAAACAGTGCTGCTATGATTGAAGTTGCTGCAAATGCAGCCCAGGCTTCAGCTGCTGCCGTTAGAGGACAAGTGAATTTACCAGTGAAGCTAGATGAATTTGGTAGAGATGTGAACCGGCAGAAACGTTTGGATATGGAACGGAGGGCTGGGGCTCGTCAACGCAGGAAAGCTCAATTTGATTCCAAGAGATTATCATCCATGGAAATTGACAGTTCCTACCAGAAAATAGAAGGAGAATCGAGCACTGATGAGAGTGATAGTGAGAGTACAGCATATCAGTCAAACCGTGACATGTTGCTTCAGACTGCAGATGAAATTTTCGGTGATGCATCTGAGGAATATTCCCAACTTTCTGAGGTTAAAGAGAGGTTTGAAAGATGGAAGAAAGATTATTCTTCGAGCTACCGTGATGCTTACATGTCATTAAGTATTCCTGCTATCTTCTCTCCATTTGTAAGACTAGAGCTTCTTAAGTGGGACCCACTCCATGTTGATGAAGACTTTTCTGATATGAAATGGTAATGGTAGTTAACTTCAGTTCTATGCGCCTTTCAAGAATTTATAGATTAGAAAAGGTTTTTCTGAATTCTAATAGTATTGAAGAATTTATAGATTAATTATATATTAAACCAGTAATTGCCTTTCAATTGAAATTTTTTATAGATAATTAACTTTACACTTTAGATATATTTGTATTGCATGCGTAATAATTATTTAAGAACAAATAAATACTAGTTTAACTTAACTGGTTTAAAACCTTGGGAGACGGGCTTGGTTATTTTGGTCTATTGTGATTGATGGCACCTAGAGGTGCATGCTTGAATGAACAAACGCACATTAAAGGTTTAAATATATCTCTTTCAATGATTGATTATATTAAGTATTTGTTTTCCCTTTTTCAGGCATAATTTGCTATTCAATTATGGTTTTCCAGAAGATGGAAGTTTCACCCCTGATGATGCTGATGCTAACCTCGTTCCTGCCCTAGTGGAAAAGGTCGCACTTCCAGTGTTGCATCATGAAATTTCCCATTGCTGGGACATGCTTAGCATGCAAGAAACGAAGAATGCTGTTTTTGCCACAAGTTTGATTATAGATTATGTTCCTGCTTCTAGTGAGGCTTTAGCAGAATTATTAGTTACTATCCGCACTCGTCTAAGCGAAGCTGTTGCCGATATTATGGTATTTGGATGTTTTAACTCTCTCACTCTCTCTCATTTGTGTGTATGTGTGCACATCTCTCTTTCTCTTGCATTTGTGTGTGTGTTCACATCTCTCTCTCTCTCTCTTCTCTCTCTCTCTCATTTTTGTGTGTGCACATTTGCAAAATGCATCAGTGCCTCTATGTGCCTGTCATCTCTGTGTCTGTGTGTACATGCCTGCTTTTTATGGGAATAAATGTTGTGTTAACTTAGAGTTAATGTTGTTGTTCTTTGATATTTATTTCATAGGTCCCAACATGGAGCCCACTTGTGATGAAGGCTGTGCCAAATGCTGCACGAGTTGCTGCATATCGATTTGGGATGTCTGTTCGTTTGATGAGAAATATCTGCTTGTGGAAGGAAATCCTGGCATTGCCAGTTTTAGAGAAGCTTGCTCTTGATGAGCTTTTGTATGGTAAAATATTGCCTCATGTTCGAAATATTACTTCAGATGTTCATGATGCTGTCACAAGAACAGAACGCATTGTAGCTTCTTTATCAGGGGTGTGGGCAGGCACAAATGTCATACAAGATTCCAGGTATTAATAATGTCTGTTTAAGAGGATACCCTAGTGGTTAATAATGGATAATCTGGTTAATCAGGTTGCATTAAGTTTTCTTAATCACTTTATCTTCACCAGGTGTAATCACTATGATGCATCTATGTGCCTATTGAACTCAGTAAATTTGAGCAAGCACGGTCCAATTACGCTTGGCACTGCCTATATCTACAAAATTTGATTAAATGTCTCACATCGTTCCCCTCCGAATCCCTTCCCCCGCCCAACTGTGGATTATTGTTTATTTCGTCTGTGTTTTCTTCTTTCTCCCTGTCTTGTGCTACAAACATTACTTTACTCTTCTTTTCAAAACTATGTATACTTCTTGAAATACACACGTGCACACGCACTCTTCGAAGTTATACATGCATAATTAGTAACATAGAATTCAGCAGTTTTCCTTTGCTTTCACTTTTTAGAGGACATATACTGCAAATGTACTGGTTTGATAATTGTTTACTTAATTAAAAATGACATCTTCTCACGATTATTTTCCTTTTAAAGGACATATTCTGAGTCTGAGGCTTCCCTCCTGCTTCTGTCTCATGATTATTTGTTTTTAAAAACCTGTGCAGTCACAAGTTGCAACCGCTGGTGGATTATGTGTTGTTGTTAGGAAAAACATTGGAGAGAAGGCATGCGTCTGGTGTGACTGAAAATGAGACTGGTGGACTAGCTCGTCGGTTGAAGAAAATGTTGGTTGAGCTTAATGAGTATGACAATGCAAGGGATATAGCAGGGAGGTTCCATCTCAAGGAAGCATTATGAATGATGCTGTGAAGTATATGGTATGATTAACCTGACTGACTGAAACTGGTTATAGTTGTCCATGAATTGAAGAAAGGTATTGGGTATACTTGATTAATATGGCAAGAGATGACCATTGCAAATTACATTTCTTAGGGTAGCTTTCCTGAGCACAGGTTGGGCTGTAACTAAGATGCCCTCTCCGTAGACCCCAGTGCTTTTTCCTCCCCGCTTTCAACTACTACTTCCCTCTTTCCATTTAATTATTTGTCTTAGACCTCTGATGTTAAGATGGATGTATGTGCTTTCTCATATCTTCAATAGTCTTCTAACTGAAAGCTCTTTTGAGTTCTATGAAAAACCTTGTAAAATTTTAGGATGCAATATAATTCTTTTGCTTCTGTTTCTGGTCCATTTTTGTTGACACTTGTAAAGCATTTTTTTTTTCTTGTTCTGTTGCTAATAGTGTATGAGATAGGAATAAGATCGTTCCTTGGGATTCCGCTAATAAAAAGGATACTGGTTTAGAACATTAAGAGGCTTTCTGTAGATTCAAGTGATATTTCTTTAGGTTCTGTTTCTAGTTAAATTGTTGTTAATAGCTGCAGGAAATGCTAGATTTTTTATTGCATCTTCACTTTACTCTCACATGGAAGATGGCACTTGTTTTGCAGTTTATTGTTCAGTCACATTTTTCTTCAAAATGATGCACTTTGCTTGGATGCTGCTCAAAGCAAATCATGTAAGTTTGTTTGTTTTTTGATTGCTCTTGTAAATTTGTTAGTTCATAATCAAAACCTGAAAAAGTCTGGAACTGTATCTTTTTTGCCAACAGCTGCCTTTTACCCTAGTGGTTAGAACTTGGAATATCATCTCGGAAGCCTCAAGTTTGGTGTTAGGATAGGCAGGATGGGAGTCCACTGCATGGACTTTGACAGTGGGTTTGAGTCAACGATTTGATTATGGTAGAAAGCTGGACCAGGAACTATAGTCTATTATGGGACTAGGCTTTTCATAGTGATGTCATATAGCTATGCATAAGGCCATCAATTGAACCCGGAGCCTATATCTGAGTAGGTTTCCGAATTGGTGGAGACTGATTCGGTAGTTGTGGTTGGTCTTGGTCTGTCACATAACGAAGCACCTTCTGTAAAATGCTGTTAACCAATTGGTTTGGGACAGTTGTGTCAGTTTGAATGTCCAACTATCCCTCCAAGTGTGGAAAATCTGATGAGTTTGGCAGCTAATGAGGAGAATGAAATCTAAATGGCATCCAAATTGAAAATTATCACCTAATGGCTAATGGAAAACTTGTGCAAAGGTTGCAATTTGGTTCCCACCACAAGGGGCATTTTAAAAAATAGCCCACAAGGATAATATATTTTAAAAAATAAATTTTTTATAATTTTAATTATTTTTGATCAAGTCGCATAAAATTACTATTAATGAATATGAGAATTTTCAATTACTATTAATGAATATGAGAATTTTCAATTACTATTAATGAATATGAGAATTTTCAAGTGCACGTTGTGATACAAGTCATACATATGGTATACGTTATATTAAAAAATATTATTACACGTCATGTATAAAATTATGTTATACATCATAGTTAAAAGAGGTTATTACATGTGATTATAAAAAAATATATTATTGATATACGTCATGTACAAAAACATATTACAAATTATGTTGAAAACAAATGTTATTATTACACGCTATATTGAAAAAAAAATTATAACATTTTAATATTAAAAATGTTGTTACTTGCGAATCAAAATTTTAAATTATTTCAATTCTTTTCATTTTTTTATTTTTATTTTTGATGATTTGGTACCGATTAAAGTAACTTTAACAAGCTTTCATAAATTAAAACATAATTTTTCTTATCTAATATATATGTTTCAGCAAAAAATCATATTTTTTTTTTGAAATCTTAAGTTTATAAATATCAAAATTTTGAGTTTATTGGTGTCTATGTTCTGAATTGATCCAATTAAAAATTATTTCAAATATCTGTTATTATTTTTATTATTTTAATTTTATCCAAAACACATAAAAATCAAATTTTTCGAATGACCACTTACTCCAAACATATCAAAACCATTGCTTGGCGTTCTAAAATCACAAAAGAGAGAAATTGAGAGCACAACAAATGAATGTCAAAGAGAAAAATTGATAAAATTATAGGAAATTGGATAATGAGAAAGAAATCGAAAACACAGATGGATATGGAGAAATTATGATAAATAATTTAATTTATTTGAAATGTTTTCAAAGGTATTTTTGTCAAATCATGATTAAATATGATTAAAAATAATTAATTTTATTCTGGATGTTATTTTTGAAATTAAGTTATCAAGATGATTATTTCTCACAATTTTCTCCTACAATAATGTGCATAAAAAAAAAATCCTTGTAGGTAGTATAATGTAAAGGTCTATACTAACTTGTAAAGTTTGTTTATTTTGACTAATTGAGTCTATAGTTTTATCACACAAAAGTTCTTGGTGTGAGATTTATGATTCTCTTTTGGATAATAAAGTTCTATTATCTTTAGTGATACATAACTAGTATCTAAGAAGTTTACAATTTTATCTCATAACAAAATATTTTATAAGTTAAAGATTGCGTAAACATTTAAATATTTAATTCGTATTTTAATATACAATCGATATGAAATTATCAACTCTCTTTCGCGACCGTGATATATATAGGAACATTTCTAATAGATTATGAGAGTTTGAGAGAGGCCTCGTGCTGCTAGTTTTGTTTACTTTGTTCCATCAGCTCATCCAAGTTCTCACCTAACTTCCACCATATATGAAGTAAAAAAGAACAAAACCTTTCTCTAACTCTTTTGCTGAACAAACAATAATAAGACTTTCAGGAAAAAGGTGAAGGATATCAGCTGTCACTAAATATATAAAATTGTGAACTACCTCAGCAACTACCATTGTCTAACTGTAAATGGCCAACCATTTTTCAAATGTTAGGATGGATAGTAGTCATCCATATGGCATTCCAGCAACATGAATTCAACAAGGGAAACATGGAGAAAAAAAAGAGTGAAGTCAATCTTATATTTGATAAAATCATAAGGAGCCCTATTGTTACATAGCTGCAAGTGTCAAGCGAAATTGGTTGGTTACCACATTTCTCTGTTTAACGCTCGTGTTCTATTATTGTCATGATTCATATTTAACTTATAAGGTATTGTTTGTTTTGATTCATTGAATCTCATGGCTTTGATTTTGTTGCATAAAAAGTTTGTATTTTAATATATAATAGATGTGAGATTCACAGTTCTGCTTTTGGTTTTGATTTTTTCATTTAATTAGTTAAATTCTTTAATTAATTTAATAAAATCTTAATTAATTGAAATAATTTTAAATTTTACTAAAGTTACTAATTTAATTAATTGCATAATTACTAATACATGATTTTTTTAACAATTAAATTATCTTATTAATTCCCTCAAACCTTAAATAATTTACATCAATAAAATATTTTATAATATTACTTATTTAATTAATTGCCTAATTACTTATAAGACATTACATTACTTAATTAACTACATTATTTTTTTAACTCATTAACAGCTTAATTAATTTTAATATTTTTTAAGTTGAAAAATATTACTAATTTAATTATGACTTATTAACTAAAGCATTTTTCATTTGATTAGTTAAATCCTTTAATTAATTCAATAAAACCTGAATTAATGTCTTTAACTTCTACCCATTTGCTAACCTCTTAGAACATATTTCACTAGGCTTTTTTTTTTTTATCTTAAAAGTTATTATGAAGCTCTTATGAAAATAACATCTTTTAAAATTAAATTAAATTTATTTAGTAAATTTATTTTTATAAATTATTTTTCATAGATAAATTGTTTTACCAAACAATTTATATAAGTTTTAAGTTTGATTAAAATTATTGTATTTAATGAATAAATTTTTATTAATCACAAATTCCTTTGTTCACAATAGAAAAAAATTAACTTTATTTTTTA